ATAACGACAGCGACGAAGACAACGCGGACAATCAATTTCTGTAAAGCTACGAGGGACATTCAGACATTCTGTGACCGGGGAAATGTTGCCCATGAAGCAGCGTTCTCTATTAAAGGCAAATTGGTGACCGCGAATAATTGGAAAAGTTATCCTTAAGTTAATCCTTTAAATCGAAAGGACCACGCGCGCCAAGAGCAAAATTCATTTTCATCGTCGTTATGACACTTCAGCGGTTGAAAAAATATCGAAGGGGGCGAAAAAGAAACCCGTCATTATTCTTCCGTCCCCGAATATGCGCACCGGAAACTGACTCGTGCCCCCCAGACGCTTTTACCGCCCACATAAAGATCTCCAAAACACACCACGCTCATACTTTACGGTCATGACCGCGCGATACTTTGTTCAACGCGGCGTGGTACCGGCGATTCGTTTTACGAAAGCTTTTGCGATCCGCCCTTCGTTGGTCGATGAGATCGGCGAAACTTGAAATTGGATCGATCCGACCGAGTTGTGGCTGGGGGACCCGACGGATTCTCGCCCGCGGCCAGGTAAAAGTGCTGAGCCCTTCGTGTTATTCTTCAACGTTATACGTTGTAGTTCTTTGCCCGGGCACAGAGATCATGAAAGGTTAATATCCGTCCACTTTCCGCAAATTGGATACCAAAGAGAGGGTTTTGAGCTTTCTCGCGGTAAAATGTGCCATTCAGGAAATTTCTGACTATTTGATGCGAGTTTTACTACAATTTCATCATTAGGACGGATTATTTCTCGAGTTTTGACGTTAAATGTTGCTTTAAACATTACACGATATATTACATTCATTTTTCTTCATTATTGATATCATTCTAGTTTTAATCTTATGCTTTCCATTCAGTTAACTTATAAAATAAGAAAGCACCTTTGCGAGAAATGAGGGAAAGATCGATAAGTTTGTATTGTAACGTTTCATAAATGACTTTATGAAGATGGATAGAGCATTTTACGTAATCTTCTCTCTAACAAAAAAACAACCATTATATAATATTGCTTTCTTAAGTTTTTTCTCTTATTTAATATATTTTGACTTAAAAAAAAATTGCTACATGTATTGTGTAAATATTGTAGACAAGAATATCAAAAATTTGAACACAAATACTAAGTTTTATAGAAAGCAATTTATCATTTAAAAGTAATAAATACTAAATTGTGCATACGTGTGTGTATGAGACGTACATTAATCTCTATACTATTAATATTATTTAATATTATTTAATATTACAATAATTATTTACAATAAAGTTTTAATATAATTACCATTCAAATGTTTAAATTTATGAATTTAATATAAATAATATGTGTAACATTTATTATTAATTACTTGTTAACACAGAATTCTAGAAAATTATTTATTATTTGGAGCTAATAATTATTGATTTCAATTACACTAATGCTTATACTTTTATGCCATCAATTGATATAACATAATTTATTATTATTTCTAATATAATTGTATCATTTAAGTACTTTAATGTATAATTACGATTGAACGGACTGCAACATTTATAATAACGGAATATTACATTTCCCACTTAATCGTTATTTAATCGCGTTCCATAACAGACGTGCCACGTTGAACTGAAAGTTCACTATCAGTGCAGTGTGTTTCGCGCATCGTAACATTTTCTAGAGTAAGACTTTCCGGAATCCGCAATTATTCCGACGTCAGCGACCGTAACGCGTGCACAAAAGATTCGCAACACCTTCCGCGCAATTTTGTTCGCAAGAATACGTAATTATAAGCGACGTGTGCATGCTTTCGGCCGACCTGCTACAACACGAATTTCCGTTGCGTTCAAAGCGTCCGCTGTAATAGTACGTAACGCGTTTCGCGTTCGTGTCCGCAATGTATCAACTCGCGGCAACAAATACCATACTATCGACTTTAGTTTACCTTCACAAAGGTCGTGTTTCCTCCTTTGCGAAAACCGCCGATGGACTTGTTCCAGGAACGAAAAGAACCGGGATCGTTTTATAGCATTTTATAGCATTGCGGACTAGCCAGAAACACTCCCTTTTAACCATTAATTCGTTTGCCTGCGGTTGGTCCCGATACCACGCTGTGAGAGGTGTGTGACCAGTCGGGTCGTGGAAATAATAATAATTCTTTGAAACAACGACCCTGCAGTACGATCCCGATCTTCGTCACTGCCAGACACGAATTGCCATCGTGCTTTTATAGGAAAGTAACGGCTTGGAAATAAAATATATAATGTACTAATGTATTAATTTTCATGGTTTATTACTACTTGATCAATCGGTGCTTTTTGTAAATACTGTAAAAATAAATAGAAGAGTCGGATATAAATGAATCCTTAATGAATCGTATTAAAACTTTCTTGAAATACGCGAAAAAATAGTATGTAATTTGGAAAAAAATTGTTCTTAAAATAAGACTTATTCTTATTTGTAAAAGAATTTTTTAATTGTTGAATTTGAGTTGTAATTGAGTGAAAAGCGAAAAAACATTCTGATATTATGATATGATGATTATTCGATGATTTCTAGTTATTTTAGTTGAATTTTATCGATTTTAATTTTGATGCAGAAAAGATAGAATTACGAGAATTGTAAAATCAATAAATGATAAAACATCACAGAGATTGTAAACAGCAAAACAAATGTGTTTTATACATTGATTGAACAGCCAGATATCACTGCAATATAATTTATTGAGATTTTATTGTTTTTCTCTCTCTTCCTGACTTTCTCTCTCTCTCTCTCTCTCTCTCTCTCTCTCTCTCTCTCTCTTATTGGCATGCATTCATGTGATGTACGCGACATTGATAGAATTGTAATTTGTCAATGAGATTGTATGTCAAATATCTGTTCTAACATAATGATCAATAACAATACCTTTTGTCAGTGCATGAATTTCCGACATGATTATTAATGCGCTCATTCAGATAATGTCTGATTGGAATAGCTAATATATCTCTCTCTTTGTGTTTCTCTCTCTCTCTCTTTCTCTCTCAATTATACAAGTTTGAGGAGTAACTTGTATATTAATATGTAAGCAGCTTTTGAAATCGTGATAATAAAATGCGTTAGATTGTTTATTTTTAAAGTTGACACGTAAATTAACTAAAAAAGATTAAATTTAATTATATAAAATACACATTGATATGCAATATTAATTTAAAAATCCTAAGATTACAAAAGATTTATATCTTGCAAAGAATTGTAATCTTACATCAATCAATCAAGCTCTCCTGGTTATATATCAAGGAAGTATAAATGACAAATTCTATTTAAGTTAGAAAATTATTCAAATAAGAAAATTCAATTATACGCACTTTTTTTATATATCTTTAATATATATTTTTTATAAATATATATATCTTTTTACAAATTTTAATCGTAGCAGTGAAAAGTTATGTATATTTTGTAATAGTTCTCGTGATATGCAATTGATTTCGACCACATCTTACGAAATCACTCATTACATACCAATTTCCGAAACAGTCAATTAGCATTTTTCGTTTGCGCTGCCATAAAAGTGATGCAATCACAGTCGTGCAGCGAACCGGAGATTTTTGCTCGCCCTCTCATAGAGAAAGCGCGAGCAGAATTTTCGATTATTCTGACCGTTCTTGTCTCGCGCAATTTTCCAATGCTGTTTCCAATGTTGCTTTCCCGATGCGAAACTCATTGTTAGAAGCGACAGGCAGATCCGTTAATTTCCCGTAGTCGGGACAACGCGATAACGAGCGCAATATTACTTACACTTGATGTATATGCATAGAACATTATGCGCCGCGTTAATCTTACTTCGAAATTTTATTATTCGCGTTGCGCAACAAGCTACATACAAATTAATTATTCACAATGTTGTCTGGCAAGTTATCCACGAAACTCATGATGGAAACTACTGCCACCAGCGCGAAAGGTAATACATATGCAGTTCTAATTACTACCAGTTGTATATCGCGAACGGAATAATTACGAGCATTGGGGGAATTATAAAATTGACTGGCATCTGCAAAATATCGCGCAAATTGAACGAGTATTTATTTAACGAGAGAGGAGATATATATATTTTATTGCAACGAATTATTATTTTTCCTGTTATAATAACCAATCAAAGTCACGAGAATTACGCTCATTAAATGTAAAGAATGTTTAAAACATATATTCTTGTCCAATTATAATTATTCGAAGAAATACATATACATGTTTGAAATATATTCTTTACACAAGACCTTCTTTACCTTACATACTATTTCGCTCGAATTTTGCCAAGTCCATTTAGAAGTTTACTGCCGCTTAAATAAAGTGAACGTAATTTGGAATTAAGCAGCAGCTCTCGCGTTTACCGAATATACTTTTTTGCACAAATCGAAATATTATGCTAAAAGCAGACTAAAACTAATTATCAAAGGATATTGTATATTACACGCGTAGCAAAAATAAATTATAATATTTCAAATATTTCTATTACTATTAAAACATACATACAACTTTTTTCAAATTATTTTATACATATAATTTGATAAAACATACAAAAAAACGTGTTATGTCGTAGAACAAATATTATAGATACAGATTTTCTTTAATTTTAATACTTTAATACTTTAATATTTTTAATAGTTTAATAATTGATTCTGTATATGTGTTGCATTTTGTGATTTCTATATAAAAGTAAATCTATTAGTAAAAGATTCAATTTTAATTATGCTTTATAAACACAAATAGTTTCGTGAAGGGCTGACATAATCATATACAATGGTTTACTAAAAATAAAATACTTGAATAACTCTTGTAGATTTAAAGATATTAAAAGATATTAAAAATGTAATTTGTATAATTTAAGGAGGCAAAGCGGGAAGAATTTTTATGACGTAGAATAAATTCCTTTTAGTACTAATAATAAAATATAAAAGAAGAAAGTAAAAATATTATTCTTTTACTTAAAAGAAAACATATTGATTTTGAAAACTTTTAAATAATGATCATAAAAAAAATTCTGCTTCATACTTATTCTTCACACAAATTATGCAACTTATACAAATTATATTCCTGACTCCTTTCTCGTATTTTTAAACTTAGGAGAATTCTTCAGGTATTCTATTTTTGAGATGAAAGTTCTCTACACATATATTATATTATAGATTCATGTATTTATACATGCACGAGTGAAAACATTTCTAACTTTATATAGACGCCTGTTAGAATTTCTCACGTAAAACACATTTTCCGTTTCAACCTCTTGAATACATATACACTTCGAGAAATCGTAACACACAACCAAATATTTAAACACCACGATCGAAGATAAACTCACCAGTTTCAATTTACAACTTGAAAATATACGAGAACGTAATAGTTATTTCTGAGATAATTTTATTCTTATTAAGCGTATTGGAACGACTTTGAAACGAGAAACGCACAATATTAAGAGACAGTTATCTGCAATACAAACTTATTCTATTGGTCAAAGATTCCTGGCTGTTTTATTGAACGTTTCTTCAATTCGATACAGAAAAACGTGATACAAAATGGATGAAAAACAAACGAGAATTCGAAACTGATACTGCTTGTGGGACGAGCACGTGAAAGAATGACAATCTTCATACGCAGAAAGTGAGGGAAAAATCCCGCTTATGATGCCTTAGGGTATACGGAATGGCATGTCAGTGCAAATGACACCGCAAACGTGCATCTCCCGTATTTTTCACGCTCGATTGTACATCATATTACATACAATCGGTTTAAGAAATCCTTCACTTTAATACACTCTCTCAATTCCTTTTTCTTTTTACGCAATATAAATGAGATTATCGACAGAAGAGCCTTGGCTTGACGGACATATCGTAAACGCTCAGAGGGCACGAGGAAGTAATTGCAGGGATCAGGACGTTCTGTATGGAGTGAATCGATAGCGGAGCGGTCCACGTCCCCTCCGAGGCTGTTACACCAGACTCCACGTCTGAAACTCTGCAAATAATTAAATACTCTTCGTAACAGCCAATTCCATCATAAGCCGGGACGCATTGACACATCAAGCAGACAAACTTTAAAGACTTTGAAATATTAACGCTCTCTGGAGTACAGTATGATTGGAATTTAATTCTCAACAGACGAGGTCATATTTTTCTCGTCGCTTATCAATAACAGCAGCAGAAAGTAATATCTTTTATTATATTCTGATTATTACATTTTTAAGGGTAGAAAAATATCTAAAGATAAGAATAACAGCTCTGAATAGCAGTTGGATTTTTTCGAAATTGTGATTAACGAGAATCATGTGCGTTCGAGAAACAAATGGAGAGAAATAAAAATAAGGAGAGTTAGAGTCTCGAAACCGTGAAGCAGCTTGCAAAACTTTCAGATACCCGTCTGCCCATGTAACCGACTTAACCGACTCTTTGTTAGTTGGCGAAAACAAGACGTCATAAACTGATACTTGGTAGGCACTTACGTCTTGAGAACGGGCGGTGCATAAAGAATGACGGGATTCACGAGCGGCGGTTTCAAAAGCACAACGTCGACGCCCGAGGAATGTAATTCGCTTTTTAACGCTTCGGCGGCACCTTCCACGGCCCGACGAGATGCACTGAAGGCCACTAATCCGGAGCCCGTCCTGCTGCTGTAGCTCGTCTCGGAGTCGCCCAAGAGAACGATGCGGCCTTATATATTTTTAGGAACATATATACTTTTTTAGCGACATACTTAATGATAAGAAATATTTCGAAAATTATCTTCTTTAAAACAAGATGAAACACTGGTGTTTCATGTAAGAAAAGGCAAACAATGGTTTCTTTAATATCATAATAAGTATATTTAACGAACCTCTCTTAATACGCAAAAGAGGGATGAATACTCTGGCTGTTCTGAGCGGAGCGACCAGATTATGACGCAACATGGACTCCCACATCGAGCTGGTCTGTTTCTCTATGACACCTGGCAAAACCAAGCCACCCGTGTGCACGACCGCCCAGAGACCTGCAATTAAGTGAAGTTGAGCACTTCGATGTACTTAAAGAGACCGTCTTCGAATGGCGCGGAAACGAAGTAGACGGAAGTTTATTTTACTTGAATTTTACTCATATCGAATCGCGCTAACGAGAACAATACGTACAGTTAGTAACGAGGAATCGCGAGTAATTACGGTTTCTAATGATATAGAGCATCTAAAATTTCATCTCCAAGTATGACTTTTAATAATAAAAATATATTTCCATTCACATATGCTATCCACATTAACTAACATTAAATAAATGTATTCGATGCGCTTTCTTTTCAGTTTTTCGCAACATTTGCCTGACAGCTTCGCGGAGATAACAAATAGCAGAGATCCACGAATCTGACGTTTGCGCTTATTTATTCTGCGCGATGAAAGAAATATGTTATATCCTCGTGTTTTCCTATTACTTCTATTGTGTTATACACGAATATCGTGCGAGATGTATCACGTGATTTCTGCAAATGCTTGTCAAATAAAACTTTTGATACAATCATCGTTGTATAAGAGAATTAAAAATTTATTATTTATATTATATTTAACAATTAATTTACAAATTTTCAAAAATCTTGTTTTTATTCTCTTATCTTAAATACTTTGTTTATTCTATTCTATGATTTTTTCGATTCATATGAATTTTGTCTGGTTTCTTATATGTGATAGACTCATCAATATCTATCCAGTTGACGTCGATAAAACCTCAAAAAATACTTTATCGAATCTAACAAGATTGTGAATGATTGCTATGATATTGATTGTATATCTGAAACAGTCTGAGTTCATATTTCCTACATGTTAGTATCCATACATTGAAATATAGAACTTTTTCTTAGAGTTTAGTAATATTTCTCTCACAGATAATTAACAATAAAATTAATAAAGCTACATATAAAATGAAATTGAATGTGTAAAAGACTTCTTTTGATTTACTGAATAAATAATGAAATGTTTCGAAAATATAACTGACGGATATAATATATATATATTATATTATGCACAATGCATTAAATATAAAAAGGAATAATTATTTCATTTTATTCCTGTATATTTAGTTATCATTTCGTGCAGTTAATTAAATAAAAGAAAAATGAAGATATACAAAACTAAAATGTTTATGAAACATAATTACAAAAATGTATTTTTAAATATATTACACAAATTAAAAATATATATCCGATATATTTTAATATACAATTACGAGAGAATAATATACACAATAAAAAATCAATTTGCATATGTAAATATGTTGGATTTTTTATTGATTAATTTCCGCATTGTAATTCATAATAAATCATAAAGACGAAAAAACAAACAATTTTTCAACATTTTTATATTTAAAGTGTTGATTAAATGACATATATAAATTTATGTGTATTATATAATATTAAATTTTCATAACTTATAATTTATATTATAATATTATGAATTCATATTATAAAAAAATTTTATGAATAAATTGTGTCTTGTTTCCATATTGCACTCATCTACTGTACGCGAAAATATTAAGTTGTTCTATAACTAAATATCGTAGACTAAAAAGTAGAAATTAATTTTCCACGATGATTTTAATACCGATATCAGAATGGCTTTAATATACGATAAGCGCCAGTACTGTAACATCAAGGAAGTAATTATAAACTAAAGCAAAACTAAAGCGAGAAGAAAGCACAGCTATTAAAAGCGTTGTTTACATAGACGATGCACTTTCATAGATTATATGTAAATGAATCATTTACATAGTCTATATGTAGTACAACATTGACTAATATCTCCGTAATACGAGAGAGTAATTAAAGTTTTTCCGAAAAAGTAACATAAAAAGGATGCTTCATAATTTTCGTGTGTCTAAAGATCCTCTTTTCATTCTGTCTTATGTTAGTTTAAATATTCGTATAAGCCCGGTTTCTTCAGAATCAATTTATTCCGAGAGATATATATATATATAAATAAAAAATGAAAAATTTATTATAATTCTTAAAAATATTGCATTTGTGCATAATAGCTCTTTTCTACTAATCACATAGGTATATGTTGCATAATATATAATAAAATATTAAACAAATAAATTAAACAAATAATGATTAAACTCTCAAAGTCTTTCTTAAATTATGTACAGTAAGATTTATATTTACTTATTCATATTATAATTAGGAAGAAAAATCTAGTTATCTCTCTTCATTCAATTTCATGAGTTGAGGAAATCGGACTAGATTAATAAAAAATGTCTTGCCATCTTCGCCAGCTGGAAGTTTTGCCCTGACAGCGTCCAAACAAGCGCGCAAACTGTCCTCTCTCGTTGGATCCAACTCCAATGGCACGATTTGGCCGCGGGCACGTGCAGTTTCCAGTTGCTGTGGATTATTGTCACCCGCACCTCCGGGTTCGCTCTCTTTCTGCCGTTCCGATTCGATCGCCTTCAGGATTTTGACCGAGGGTGAGTTGCCTGTTGGATCCAGCAGACCCGCGAAAACCTGTCATAGAGGAGAAACATGACGTCACGTTATGTTTTGAAAGCCCATCGTCACCGCAATTTCGCGTGCCACTCCGTTACACAAGCCACCATATCGATATCACTCGATAACGTTATGCTTTGATACTGATACGTCATGTTAAATGACATATAAACTCGTTTATAATCAATGAACTGGATCTTAAATAAAGAATGAAAAACTTGAAATTTTTTCGACATTTTTTGCTTTTAATTAAAAAAGAAAATTTGATGTTGGCGTCCAATTAAGATCACAATCAAACAATATGATATATATTACATAACTTAATAATATACATTACATATAAGATAATTTATTAATAATATATTATCGTTATATTACTTAAAAAAATTTTTTAAGTTGTGTGTGTGTGTGTGCTTCTTTTTTATAAAATTTTAAAAAACTTTGACTTTTTTAAATCTCTCTTGTATCATGAATGACAATTTAAAATACATTTTTTATAAATTACAAAATCCAATTAAATCATTTAACAATCTTCATGTAAATCAGCTGCGGTCGTTTGACATACGCGGCTCTTGGTGCATAAAAGGTAATAGAGGTAATCCAAAGCTCGAATTTCAGACACATGGAACAATCGAACCACAATTGGAATCCGTTCGTAGATGACCTACATTAACTTTGCCTTTGTACGACATGAAAGTTTCGTGTGCCGTTCAATTCTAATTTAAAGTGCATACTTAGTAGGAAGCACGCGGATGACGTAAGTTGATTAACTGTAAATCGTTAATGAAATCAAACTAAATTTCAACATTAAATATTAATCTAAACGTTACAAAAATATCAATAAATAAGGCAACATAAGTTCATGTTGAATTAAAAAATGAAATTAAATTATTAAATTATCGCGCATATTATATACAGATTATAAAGGAAATTATTGCCCCGCGCGTGTGTTCAATGTATCTTTTCAAAAAACTAATATTGAAGATGTATATGATCTCAAGAAGATATGTATTTGACTCAAGAGACCAGAACTATCATAATATCAGTACGAAGTTATGTTTTGCAAGTTTCTACTCGAGTGGAATCCCACTTTACCGAATATTCATCTTTTAGTGGCAATCTTTGATTGAGCAGAGCTCTTGAGTGGTGACGCGATATACTCGACGGGACTGGGTGAATACGTGAATACCTGTCGAGATTGTCGGCAGAACTGATTTAAGGGCTCACCGATGTTCCGCTCCCTTGACACAAGGAAACTAATTTGGAGCCCGGACTCCGACAATTTGAAATATGTTGCACGCTCGAAGGGATAATAGGGATTCTGACGTGAGGCCGCGAGATATTGCGTTTCAACGGTTGTCATCATGTTCAACTTTGGCTGTACAACCGCAAAAAGAATGGACATATGAGAAGATGTCTGATGCCTATCCATTCTAACGTTAATCGTGTCCGAGAGAACTGTCAGCTATTCGCAAAGTTAGTTTCTCATCTCCTATCACGAAGAAGAAAATAAAGATTGATTTCCGAACAAAGATAAAAATATGAACAATTTTTTCACACAAATTGCATTTATTATTGAAAATTCGAGATGAAAGTATAGTCAAAATATGTAATCGTTTCGATCTTCGATTATTAATTATTACGAGAAATTTACAATATATAGATACAAGTCACATACTCGGATAATATAATATCTCCATTGATTTCCCACTAGTTGACGTAACAACAAAAACATTCGGTACGATTCCCACACAATGAAGCTGCAAGCCGTTATTTTGCATAGCCTTCAGCGCGGTTTTCTCTCTCTCCCTCCCTCCCTCCCTTCCTCTCTCTCTCTTTGTCTTTATCTATCCATCGCTCTATCTCTCGCTCGAGTTTGAATATTTAACAACCGCAGAATATCGGCGGTTGTGGTATAATGCGGAGGGAGAGCAAACGTACGGCGAAGTTTACGTAGCGCCGGTAATTTATGGCAGAGATGTGCATACTCTTCCTCCTCCCGAGGTCGTTATTACCTTGTAACCGGCTTCGTAGAGTGCAAGGGCGATTTGCAGGCCTACACATGTATCACAGCTGGTAACAAGTACGTGACGTTTGTTACGTGACTCGTACTCATCGGTGGCATTCCTGGATTGTCGCATCAGATAGGCCAATAGAGCCGCAACAATCGAGCATAGAGCCAATATTTGCAGGGCCAGAATGGCCCCGGTTTCAACATCCATTGTGCGACTGGTTGCGGCTGCAGCAGATCTGCGAAATAAAAGAAGTATTCGCGTTAATCGTCGCATAATGGATTTATTTTTCAATAAACATCAATGGTATTTCAACGGAATCCGAATATATTTAATAGAATTTTATCCTTTCTATATGTCTAATTAAATGTCTAAAATAAATAATTATATTTTTTCTGAATAAATATAAAGATATTAAATATAAAGTACAAAATAATAAGTATGGAGATATTATTTTTAAATATATATATATATGTTAGATAGTTATGTAAGAATGTTTTCGCAGAATTAACGATAAGTAGAATATTTATTGAATATATATTTCATATGCTATCTGAAATAGTATGCAATTGCGATAATATCAAATAATGATAATAATAACATCAACTTTCACACAAAGCGACAATTATTAATTAATTGAGAAGGTATATTCTTGCATGAAAATTGTGAGGCAGCGCTAATGAATAATTTTCAAAGGAAAGTGCTTTATTATCCTTAATATGGCACTTTTATCATAGCACGCGAACAATAGCAGGCATAAATCTCAAGTATTCATATTTCTTACAAGATGAATGAGATATTTGTTAATTATACGAATGTATATAGCGACGAGATTTTATGAATAGAACATCAAATATTTAATAAACGAATGAATGTACACAAAAACTTAATTTTAACTAATTTTAATGCATCCAAGAAATTTTTTTGCATTCAAAAAATATCAATGTATAATACATATTTATAAAGCTACATCAAAGTATAGCTTTAAATCTAGAATCAATTCGGAATTTTAATTCTGAATTTTTAAATTAAATTATAAATCCCCTTCGCGCGAGAAAAATTCGTGAAAAGTTTATAATTTTTTATGCATTCTTAACATTCTTCGCATTTTTATATGTATCGAAGGTTTACATATTAAATTTTGAAGAGAGTTTGTACAGAAAAACCTTAAATTAGAGAGGGAATAGGGCTCATGAATAATTTAGTTTTTGTTTTACACAGTAAACACAGGTAAAGACTCGATAGATGAAAGAATCAAAAAACGTCTAAGAAGTGCATTCGAGGAATTGATTCTCCGGTGAAAAGTGAACGGCGGGGCGGGGTCGCTTTTGCTCGGAAGAATCACTCGCCTTTCTAAACTGTATCTAGGCTCGGTCTACTAGGTCAGCTACCGATTTTCCGCAATGCTCGTTTGGAAATCGCTTGCCGGATTCGCGAGATAGATCGATGAACACACCAGTGAAATTCCGACAATCGATGAAAATCGTGCGCGTTTGTTCCTCCTCGCTCGGCTGATTTAATAGCGGCGGAACCGTGTACCGCTAATGTGCCGAATCGATTAAACGGACCGGGCCGTCGTATTTCAGGTCGTATATGGAGGAGGGGACATTTTCTCCCGCGGTACGAAATGTTTCTTCGCGCTTTCTCGCCGATCGCTATCTATAATAGAGAACATCGAACCGCGTCTTTGCGACACGCATCGTGAATCAGGGGATTAATGTGCGCGCGTAATGCAATGTCCGGTGAGCTAGATGGTTCATTATCAGCGGAGAAAAGTCGATTGACAGGCGAAAGAATCCGGGTTCAATTCCCGGTTTAATCTAGCCCTCAGACAAGGAGATTTGAAGTAGAAATATTAAAAATTGAAATCGGGTAATATAAATAAACAAAATTGAAATATTCATTAAAAATCCCAATGGCGTTTCAAATACAACAACCTTATTCAAAATTATAAATAAACTATAAATAAATAAATTATAAATTATAAATAAACAAAATTGAAACATTTATTAAAAATCCCAATGGCGATTCAAGTAAAACAAATATTCAAAAACAACCTTGATGCGGCAAAACGAACATTATCGATTGCACTCAAGAGAACAAGACTGCAGGATAGTTTGTACGAATTTCTCTTGGAGAACATTATTCTCTCGCTCTTTCCACCTTCCTCGGTATGTAAACGTTGGTTTGTACACGCGGAAGAGTAGATGCATTTCTCGAAAAGTATTGTCCGATGCATATCAGGCATAAATATATGTATATACTGTAGAAGAGATATACCGAGACGTGAAACCGATGTTTGCCTTGCACATATTCTATGGTAGTGGTCTGAAGAAGCTTTCTCGCATGCGCATCCACGTTTCTAGTATTTTCAGTATCCCCTCTGGCGAAAGAAACTTTGTTATTTACGTTTCATTTGTTCGCATTTCAAAGTTGCTTGATTAAAGATAACAAAAAAAGAAGAATAAATATCTTATTATATTCTCCTATGCTTTTTGCTTGTGCAAGACAACATTCTTTTGACGGAATATTTTTTATTTGTGTATATATATATATATATATATATATATATATACACAAATTCTTTTACAAGCATATATATATATATATGCTTGTAAAAGAAATGTCTTCATATCTGCAAACTTGTCCATTTCAGAATAAGAAGTTTCATGTACAGATATTTACGCAATCCTTTTCGAGAATGTCGTCCACCTACATACAAAACGATAGAGATGTGCGAAAAGCGATGTATAAAAAGCGTATAACTTTATATTAAAGAACGTCAGCTTGGCGTCTGAGATGTGCAAGCACAAAAACCAGTCCGTTTCTTGCGACATTTTCTTCCGATCGAGGTGACTGAAACATGATTTTCCGTATCTGTCAAAATGTCAGAAAATGACACAATTCTTTGCAGCTTTTTGTTGTAAATCATATTTGTTGTAGAATAAAAAAAAGTGATAATTATATAAATATATATCAGTAACCACTTATCGTTTCCTGATAACATTGATCTCGATCGCGAAGCATGATTTTCATCGTCATAGTGATATACTCGTTGACATACGGCTAATAGATGAGCGTTTGTCATTCGACGCTGAAATTATGTAATAAGCGTTTCATCGCTTCGCGAATGTGTCCATCCGCGATTGTGGACGAATTTAATGCACATAGTGCGTACGTAGCACATTTCTCTCTTCCTGCTGGACCGTGTCATCGCCACTAACTTTCTCTGGAATTCAAGCGTCAGCTAGAAGCATCGCGTTGATGAGGAACATCGTATCTACGCGATATGTATGTCAGATATACCATGTTTCTTTCATCGAAAATATCTGCATATATCTAATTAATCATTTGATTAATGTCTTGAGTATTGTTTTTGTGACCAATTATTGCGTTTATATTTTCTAAGTTTAAAAAATATATTTATTGATGAATTAAAAACTATATTATATATCAATTATATTATTTATATAAATAGAGAAATACTATCGTATTCTCATGCCATATTTTGAAGAAAAATTCAATTTTTTAAATATATATACATATATATTTATAGATTTATATAGTATTTTTTTTTGTTAAGCTTTACGTTAAAGAAGAATATTATATAATAAATTAATATAAAGCAATTCTAGCTTTGTATCTCTATTTGCAAATGAGAAATTTCCCCCGTAATTATTTTGTTAATGATTTCTCTCTCTCGGCTTGGAATTGAATATATGTATAACGTGTCTGAATATAGGTATGACATTTGTCCCTCAATTCTCAAGATGGAAATTACATTAATTATTCTAATTGCGAGTCACGGGAGTAATTTAATAACAAACCGTCGTAGTATAATAGCTCTCCAAATTAAACTTATATTAATGAAAACGTACATCCCAGTAATATATATAAATGTGTTTTATCTAAAATATGCTCATATATAAATTCTTAAATACTTACATAGAATACGAGATTATATAATTTAAAGTAATACTAAAAAAATTTCAATGTCTTTAAATGAGACAAATATATTTATATCATGTGATTATGCGCGGATATAAATATATTTGTCTCATTTAAAGACATTGAAATTTTTTTAGTATTACTTTAAATTATAATAATATAACATAATTAATTTTTTTAAACAACACGATAAGAAACTGGCAAATAAGAGCCACCGTGGATGGTAGTGCGTACAATTTTTCTTAAATTATTCGTGAAAATTTAAACATGCACAAGGCATATACATATATTTTACTTGGTGCAATTTACCAAGATATAGATTCTCATTTTTGAGAATTCTATAAGCCTCTCTTTACTTCCCTGAAGAGACATAGACGAGAAAAATATCGAGGCGAAGTTGCTGAATTGGGAATCGAACCCGAGTCTTTCGCTTGCTAGGCGACTGCTCTTACCACTGAGCTATTCAGCCCCACACTCGACATCCTTCTCGTCCCCCTCTAATTCTTTGATTTATTAATTTTTTTACACACAATATAATAAACATTCTCGTCATTCACATTGCTCATCGTTCACTTGAAAGAAAAATTTATCGTTATATTGTCTCTCTTAATCTCTGCTTTACATTAAATTAAGTGATTATATTGCAATTGGATTGCGTAAAGTAATTGATAATTGTTAAAATTTAACAATACATGAAAATAGCTTCCCTATTATTTCTCTCTAAAGAAAGATGAAAAAGTATTAAAAATTTAATAATAAGTCAAACTGTCTCAAAATATTGGTTATATTTGTAATTGAAGGGAGAGTATTGACTTGTGCCGCATGGATAGAAGCAACTTGCATATTGCAACGCCATGCTAATAAGCGACTATGTCATCTCAATTAATCGCTAGTGCCGAGTCTGTCGCGAGACGTGCGCCAGTTGGAATGTTGGAAGTTACAACGGGTATGCGCGAAGGGGTGACTGGGGGAGAGGAGGGAACAAAGCTTTCCCTGCATGGGGACAGTATGCAACTATCCGTGGTTGTGGCAACGATCCTCCTTTCCTATATCGCTAACACGTGTGTATTATACCCGAACGATAGCAGCACCAAGCATGCTTATCATGCAGCTGCTGCAACACATTCACCCGTTATATCTGATAAAAATAACCAGCGCATTTATCAGACGGGGGATTGCTCAAAGGTAATCACTGCATTCCTCCAGGTGTTTACCAGGTTTTTCCCTGCATCCACAACGAATGCATGTGTTCACGCGTCGCTTGGTAGCGAGCAACGCGATAGTTTTTTT